AAGGCCCAAGCAGGTGGATCACCTGAGGTCAGGAGTTCAAGAGCAGCTTGGCCAACATGGTGAAACCTTTTCTCTACTAAAAATACAAAAATTAGCTGGGCGTGGTGGCGGGTGCCTATATTCCCAGCTACTCGAGAGGCTAAGGTAGGAGAATTGCTTGAACCCGGGAGGTGGAGGTTGCAATGAGCCGAGATAGCACCATTGCATTCCAGTCTGGGTGACAAGAGCGAAACTCTGTCTCGGGAAAAAAAAAAAAAAAAGATATAACCTGAGATTCTACTCCTGGAGATCTCTTCTATAGAACTAACAGCACCAATAAACACAGTCTTGTGTCAGGATGTTCATTACAGAATCATGTAGGGTGACAAGAAACTGGAAGCAAGGGAATGCCTGCCACCAGGAAAATGGCAGATATATAAATGGCACATATATCAGGGAATATTATATAGCAATTAAAGAGGAATAGCATGAAGTTCTGTTCAATGTCTTAGAAGGATATCTGGAGGAACTGTTCAGGGAGAAAAGAGATGCAGAAGAGTGTATAATATGATCCCACTATTATTAAGTAATACACATATCTGTATAGGCAATATACAGATACAGATGAAGAAAAATAAAGGAGATACTATGGGTTGAGGCAATGGTAACTGATGTGAAAGAAGGGAGAAGGGGAAGAGGTAAACACAAAAGCAAAAGCAATAAGATGCTAAGAAAGCATGCATGTGATCACGTGTATACATTTAGGGAAAGTGTGTATATCACAGGATCTCTACAAAAATAAAAAATAATTTTACAAAACAACCCCTGGGGCAGAGTGCGGTGGCTCACACCTGTAATCCCAGCCCTTTGGGAGGCCGAGGCAGGTGGATCACTTGAGGTCAGGAGTTCAGAAGACCAGCCTGGCCAACATGGTGAAACCCCATCTCTACGAAAAATAGAAAAAATTAGCTGGGCGTGGTGGCGCATGCCTGTAATCCCAGCTACTCTGGAGGCTGAGGCAGGAGAATCGCTTGAACCTGGGAGGCGGAGGTTGCAGTGAGCTGAGATTGCACCATTGCACTCCAGCCTGGGCAACAAGAGCGAAACCCTATCTCAGAAAAACGAAAAACAAAAACCAAAAAAACAAAACAACCCTTGGCTCCTCAGGCGTGTGAGCTCAGGCAGGGCCAGCCCAGCCTTAACTGTGGAGGCTGGTGGGACAGTCCCATGGGGAAGCCCACTGCTGTGCCGCCTGGAGGAGGAAACCCAGCGTGTGGGGCAGCTCATTGTCACGTGGTTTGCTGTGCTCTGCAGAAGGAGATTCTGTAGGCACACCCAGGACGTCACGGAAGAAGAGCTCATCCCATTCATCTCCCTGGCACAGAGTAGACACTTGGGGGATGCTGCATTAAATGAAATGAACCTGACTCTGTTTCTTTAGCCCCAGCTCACCCGAGTCTCACTCTTCCCAGCTGTCAAGAGAAATAAGATTATTTGCCTCTAAACAGGTGGCTGAGATCAGACAGTGCAAATGATGTCACTGTTGGACTCTCCGGTGTTATATAAATTCAAGGCATGAACAAAAAAGAAACTACCGATATTTACTACTCAGACACATCCACGTTAAGATTTTAGTGGTTAAAAGGCAGTTATTTTTCCATCTGACATTATGTTATTGAACAAAGTAAGTAGTCTAAGTTGGGGGAATCCCCTTGGGAGTTGTTTGAGTACAAAGAGCAAATAAAAAAGAGTAACAGATCTAAGGCCCTTACCCCTTAAATTTATTTTCACTTCCTAAACTGACCTTCATGCAAAATAGGTTGCTTATCACTAAGGTAAAATAAGATAATGAGGAGGTTTAATTAGCCAAAGCCCTGTGATATGCATTTCTTCCTTATCAAATACCTAATGAGAATGCGTATCATTAATTCTGTGGTTAGCTAATAAGAAGAAAATGAAAAGTAACAGCTCCCTTAATTTTTCCTTGAAATTTTTTTTGAACTAACACAAAGGTGCCAATGAATTTGAGTATTTTGCTTACATCCATCCACTCCATCCAACTCTCATTCAAATGCTCATTGTGCACCTGCTAAGGTCAGGTGCGTGCTTTCTGCCAAGCATTCCAAGAGGAACGTCACATAGTCTCTGCCCTCAGGAAGCGTACCCTCTGGTTGGGAAAGATGCTTCCAACAATAATTCTGATACCTGTGTGATACGGTTTGGCTGTGTCCCCACCCAAATCTCATCTTGAATTGTACTCCGGTAATTCCCACGTGTTGTGGGAGGGAACTGGTGGGAGATAATTGAATCATGGGCGCGGTTTCTCCCATACTGTTCTCGTGCTAGTGAATAAATCTCATGAGATCGGATGGTTTTATAAACAAGAAGCCCTTTTCGCTTGACCCTCATTCTAGCTCATGCCGCAGTCAGCTAAGGAGTGCCTTTCGCCTTCCGCCATGACTGTTAGGCCTCCCTAGCCACGTGGAACTTTAAGTCCATTAAACCTCTTTCTTTTATAAATTGCCCAGTCTTGGGTATGTCTTTGTCAGCAGCGCGAAAGCAGACTACCAACAGACTGGTAAAGGTGAAATCAATGCTCGCTCCTTTGGGTGAATTCCATTACATCATCTCCACTGGGGAAGGGGTGGGCGTGGGCAGCTCCTGGGAGCTGATGTCTTAGGGACCCTAACACAGAAGTTCATGCAGTTCAGCATCCCTTCCCCTCCCATGCCCCACAGGGCACAACCGCATTGTCATCCACCACCAAAACACATTACCCTTAGTACTCGACTCTAATAAAGTTCCAGTTCCTCAGTTGTACAAGGAGGCTTCCAAGCTCCTATTTTAAAAGAAAGTTTCTTGAAGCTAAATAAAAGCACTACTAACATGAAATTAACAGTGGAAATCTCTGAGTGCAATTTCAGGGTGAAAAAAACGGAAAAGACAAATGCAGATTTTAGATATTTCAAGGAAAGAGAGAGAGTAGTGTTGCTGGTACCATGCCTCTGCACTTGCTGTAGCTGAGTTTCATTTGAGTATCCATTATTTGGAAGGAGTTCTTAAATCTAAGCCTGTGGAAGACAATAAATTCACATTAATTATCTCTCCATTTGACTCAATTTCTGAAGAGGTTCTATCCTGATACACTATGAGATTCAATCCCAGATTCCTCGGTATGATGTCCCTGAATGCCAGTATAAAGAATAAAGGAAGAAATCAAAACCTGGATGAATAATCTGTAGAAATATGGGCATATACATACACAAGGTATGACTGTAATATTGACAGTCATCCTATAAAGCACCCACAAAAGTTAATTGTATTATTTTATACTTATGCTTGTGCACATAAAAAAATATTTGACAGGCTAAAGGCCAAAGAACCAGGCACTGTTCTCAAAAGGACATAGTAATTAATTACACTTCTATTTGTCCTTTCATACTCAAGGCTACTCACTGTAGCTGGGTTAACCAGGCAGAGTTTAAACCAATATATGTTGGTTGAGCCTGGATCTTAGATGAGAACTTCACACTCATGTGAAATTCACACAGACTTATGTGGAAACACTAAAAACATTTACTTCATCCACCAGTGACTTTAATCAAAGTAGAACAAAATAATTAATACAAGTAATTAGAGTTGACAACTGAAGTGTCAAGAAAACCACAGTTCATCTGTTATCCGTCCATCTCTGTTGAAATATTAATTTACTGCCATATATTAATCTATTTATAAACAGATCCAGACAATTAGAAAAATTAGTCTGGAATCACCAGGCTGAAGGCTTAGCTGAAGTTAAAAGACAAGTAAAAATGCCTCCAAACTGTAAAACCTGAGTTGGGGAAATAAATGGTAAAATGTGTAAAAGTTTAGAAAAAGGTTATATGTGGACTGTAAAAAATACACCGGACTCACAGGTAATTATGTGGTGAATCAGAGATGTTTCTTAAATGTCATAAGCCAAACTCTTAGATATTTCTACCATTAGCTAAAAGGCAGAAAAGCACTCTATTAATGCACTTTTTAAAATGAAAATTGTGACATGTTCTGCCCCTAAAGTGGACCTTTATTTCAGGCCTGCATTACTTTGCTTAATAGATATGGTCCTAAAGATTAAGGTAGTGATCCATTTTATCTTGTAAAAATGCATAATTTAATCTGAGTTATAGGAATTTAAAGCCGCCCTACTTTGAAGGCCTTTGTGACTCAAAGATTTTTTAATTTAATTTTTAGATTGAGAACTACCTGGCTTGGGCTTTTGGTCTTTTTATAATATATATCGCTGTCTACTTTTTAAAATTCTTGGCTGCCTCAAGCTATTCTTGCCTCCAAAAGCTGTCATCATAATATATGAATAAAAAGAGCAGAAAATAATTACCCTAATTAGGTTAATGTATTAAGTTGTTTCTACAGCAGTTTCTCTTAAACACCTTATCTTTGTAGTCTTGGCTAATTAGAAATTCGACTAGTGGTAAGTATTTATTTTTTCCTTCAAGGGGATTTTTGCTTTGGTAAACCTCGGACATTTGGTTAGTGCAACAAATCACAGAAACTGCTCCAGCGGACTCCGAAAGGAGCGGAAAATTCTTTTGTTTGGGGGCCACGAGGGGTGGGGGAGGGGTGGGGATTCTGGTGTAAGCTTTTGGCTTGCATTCACTTTCTCCCTCCGAAAGTGGGCGACACCAAGTAAGTCCCAATTACAGAAAGAACCCACTGCAGAGCGCCCAGCCGCTTGCCCAGTAAAAAGACTGTAATCAGACAACTTTAATAAAGGGAGAGCAGGAGAGTGGCAACGAATTTCCACATTCCGAACAAGCCTGTCGAAAGCGGAGTGTAGGGAAGGGGCAAGAATGAGGTACTGGAAGATGGTGAGTGGGGCCTTGCAGCAGAATCCCGGGCCCACCTGCCTTCTCACAATCGCGACAGCCGGCCCGGGAAAGGGCAGCTCAGCGAAGGGCACGCCCCGCGCTGGTGCCAGGGAGGCCGGCGGGGGCGTCCGCGGTCGCTGCTCACCCGCGCTCCCCGCTGCCCGGCCCGGCCCGCCTCGCCCACCGAGTCTCGAAGCCCACACTCACCCCATTACCCGCGAAACGCTGCCGGAGCCGGCGGCTGGTCGGGAGTCGGGGATGGTAGATCCCCCTCCAGGCGCCTAGCTGACATTTTGTCCCGGACGGAAAACCTCCGCGCTTCGCACTTAAAGACACAGCGCTCCATTCACACGTCTGCGGGGAAAGGGGGGCCGTCACTTGTGGCCTTCACCCGAAAGTGGTAGGGGAGTCGCTCTGAAACCACCAAGGTCCGCGAGCGACAGACTTGTGTTGGCCAGGGTTTAAAGATGACGCAATAGCTGAGTGTGGTTGAAATGTAACTATTGTTTTATAACTTTGCATTAACCTTCCAAGACCTGGATTCCCGGGCCTGAGTCTCAGAGCGCGGTTTGCATCCTTGCAGGCTGCAGGCACATGATGTCACAAGTTATTAAAAGAAATCCCTCCAACCTAGGTCTGGACAGATGAAGGCGGCGCTTGTTGGTGTTCACCAAAACACCAGCATGGTGTACCAGCTTTGGCTAGATTATACTCAGGTAACGAACAACCCCTGCAACTGAGTAGCTTCAAGGTCCATTTCTCAAGCGAATTACTGTGGCTGAAGGGATCTTTCGTAGTACTCCACCAGTTTTCTTCACTCCCGGCTCCAGGCTGAAAGATCAACTTTTCTGGGTCGTGCTCCCTGCTGGGCTGGTAAACCAACTTTGAGGGAGAACGGGGAAGTCCTGATTTGTAGTGTTTGCTATTTCTGTGATGTTAATACTCCCACCATGGCCGATTTCAAGCTACAAACAGTCTAACAAGTGGCTTGCCAAATTCCTGGAAATGTAACGATTAGCTCTTGTACGTGACTGGCACAAGCTGCTCCTCAAACTCACATTCCGCATGCCTCAGTTCTGCTCAGGTTCTGTTGGTCAAAACTTGCTGTCAGTGGGTGGGGAAGTATACCCCTCTCTTAAGGAAGCCTTGCAAGTCATGTGACAATGAAACGGGAGAGTTCCCTGATTTCCCCGTTTTCCCCGCCCTTTGCAGGACATGCAACAGGGCTGTGGCTGGTGTGTTCGGTCTCTGCCCTGCTGAAACCCCTTATGGGAGGTGGAGCATGCAGACGGACGGGTGCAGAAGCTGGGGTGCAAAAGCTGGGGCGCTAGGCTTCCAGCCCCATTGCAGTGTCCAGGGGCAGGAGCCTGTGATTCCTGGAGCCCAAATGGGCTTGTGTTACAGTGTGCTCTGTCAGCCTTACCATCAGCGGACGGCTTAAGTGTTAATCAGCTCAATAGACCCTCTGCATTTTTGCAAGCGCAGAGGGTCAGTCTGACAGCTTTCTGTATCTCGAGCTTTTGTCCCCCCTCCCAGAAAAATCAGGTCACACATGGACTTGAAGGATAGTGAATGCTGGTGAAGTAGAGTAGTGGGGTGGGGGTTATTAGGTGGTAGGGGTGGCAGTCAGTGGGATGGATGGGGAACTGGAAAGGGGATGGAGTAGGAAGATGATCTTCCCCTGGAGTTTGACCGTCCAGTGGTGGATTCTCTGACTGTCCCCAGCTGAACTCCTCCTAACATTCCTTCTCTTTACCTGCCGCTCTTCTGCTCTTCTGTTCATCTGCTCATCTTTTGCTGCTGGAGCCTGGTTTCTGGAGTTTATTTGGGTACAGGATAGGGGGTCATGGAGGGCCAAAAGGTAACTTTTGGGCACAAGGGCAGGAATGCCTCTCTTCATTTAGGGCCATGGGTTTCCAGGCTTGAGGGTGGGGCCTTTGCCAGGGAACTGCCTTATTCTACCCAGTAGTTCCCTGTCTTCTGTCCCTATCAACAATAAGTGAGCTGAATAATACTCTTAAAAGGAGGACGAGAAATAACTGGGTAGAATAATACAATCCATCTTTCCAATAATGGTTTCGGAAGAAGAAACTGGTTGAGTGTCTTCAAAGGCAGGGGTCCCCAACCCCGGGCCATGAATCAGTACCCTTTGTACCCTGTTAGGAACCTGGTGGCACAGCAGGAGATGAGTAAGGGGCAAGCAAAAGAGGGAAGCTTCATCTGTATTTATAGCCGCTCCCCATGACTAGCATTGCCGTCTGAGCTCCACCTCCTGTTACATCAGCTGGGGCATTAGATTCTCACAGGAGCACAATTGTGAACTATGTGCATTCAAGGGATCTAGGTTGTGTGCCCCTTATGAGAATCTAATGCCTGATGATCTGTCACTATCTCCTATCACGCCCAGATGGGCCCATCTAATTGCAGGAAAACAAACTCAGGGCTCCCACTGATTCTACATTATGGTGAGTTGTATAGTTATTTCATTATACATTACAGTGTAATAATAATAGAAATAAAGTGCACAATAAATGTGATATGCTTGAATCATCCCGAACCCATTCCCCACCCCGTCCATGGAAAAATTGTCTTCCATGAAACCAGTCCCTGTTGCCAAAAAGGTTGGGGATTGCTGTTCAAAGGGATAATTTTGCAATGTGAAGGCCAACTATTAGGTTACTACTGTTCTTCAGGCCCAAAGGACACTTTATAGCTGTGGACATCTGATAAAAAGAAAAGTAATGAGTATACTGTTGGTGGGAATGTATATCTAGACACCCATTATGGAAAACAGTATGGAGGCTTCTCAGAAAACTAAAGATAGAACTGTCATATGATCCGTCAATCCCACTACTGGTTATTTATCCAAAGGAAAGGAAATCAATGTATCAAAGGGATCCTTGTACCCCCGTTTATAGCCACACTATTCACAATAGCCAAGATATGAAATCAACCAAAGTCTATAAACAGATCAGTAAAGAAAATGTGATATATATACACAATGGAATACTATTCAGCCATAAAAAGGAATGAAATCCTGTCATTTGCAGCGACATGCAGGGAACTAAAGGCCATCTTGTTAAGTTAAATAAGTCAGACACAGAAAGGCAAAAATCACATATTCACACTCATGTGGGAGCTAAAGAAGTTGATCTCATGGAGGTAGAGAGCAGAAGGGTGTAGGGGTAGGGGAGTGAAGACAGACTGGTGAATGGGTACAAGCAAACAGATAAGATGGAATAAGTTCTAGTTTTTGATAACGCAGAAGGGTGACTATAGTTAGCAACAATACATTGTATTTCCAAATAACCAGAGGAGAAGATATTTTTCTTTCTTTCTTTCTTTTTTTTTTTTTGAGATGGCTCTTGCACTGTTGCCCAGGCTGGGGTACAGTGGTGCAATCTCGGCTCACTGAAAGCTCCGCCTCCTGGGTTCATGCCATTCTCCTGCCTCAGCCTCCCAAGTAGCTGGGACTACAGGCGCCTGCCACCACGCCCGGCTAACTTTTTTGTATTTTTAGTAGAGATGGGGTTTCACCGTGTTAGCCAGGGTGGTCTCAATCTCCTGACCTCATGATCCGCCTGCCTCTACCTCCCAAAGTGCTGGGATTAAAGGCGTGAGCCAGTGCACCCGGCCGAAGAGAAGATTTTTTTCTATGAGTTTGACTTTAATTTCTAAGATTCCACATATACATGAGATCATGCAGTATTTGTCTTTCTGTGTCTGCCTTATTTCACTTAGCATACTCTTCTCTAAGACATCTATGTTGTTGCAAATGGTAAGAGTTCCTTTTTCTTTAAGGCTGAATAATATCCGTGTGTGTGTGTGTGTGTGTGTGTGTGTATGTATACACCACAGTTTCTTTTTTTTATTCATCAGTTGATGGACACTTAGATTGTTACCATATGTTTTGGCTTCTGTAAATAATGCTGCAATTAACATGGGACTGCAGATACTTCTGGGAGATAGGGTTTTTATTTCTTATGGAAATATACCCAGTAGTAGTATTAGTGGATCATATGGTAGTTCTATTTTTAATTTTTTGAGGAACCTCTATACTATTTTTCATAATGGCTGCACCAATTGACATTTCCACCAACAGGGTACAAGTGTCCCCTTTTCTCGAATGCTCACCAACACTTGCTGTCTTTTGACTTTTTGATAATAGCCATCCTAACAGGTGATGTCATTTTGACTTGCATTTCTCTGCTAATTAGTGATGTTGAGTAGAAGAGAAGATTTAAAATGTTCCCAATACAAAGAAATGATAAATGTTCAAGGTGATGGGTATCCTGATAACCCTGACGATCATTACACATTGTATGCATGCATCAAAATATCGCATATACCCCATAAATACGTACAAATATTTTGTATCAATAAAAACATGAAAAAGAAAAGTAACTAGTATAAATGGCCAGGTGCAGTGGCTCACGCCTGTAATCCCAGCACTTTGGGAGGCCCAGGTGAGTGGATCACTTAAGGTCAGGAGTTCAAGACCAGCCTGGTCAACATGGTGAAACCCCATCTCTACTAGAAAAATACAAAAATTAGCCGGATGTGGTGGCGGATCCCTGTAAGCCCAGCTCCCTGGGAGCCTGAGGTGGGAGAATTGCTTGAACCCAGAGGTGGAGGTTGCAGCGAGCCAAGATCGTGCAACTGCACTCCAGCCTGGGCGACAGTGTGAGACCCTGTCTAAAAAGTAATAATAAAATAAAATAAATAAAAAAGAAAAGTAACTAGTGTAAACGAATCAGGTTAAAGTCATCTCTAATTCATGTTTAAATATTTGAACAAATTTGTACAGTTTACTGTATCTGGCAGTTCTTTTAAGAAGAAGCTTTATTACTTTGAGTGTCTAAAAGAATCCATTTAACTTTAAACTGACCACGTAATGAGATACATGATCTTTTCATTAGTTCACAGAGGAGTTTTTAGTAAGTGCTGGTTATAGGCAAAGCACTATCTTAAGCCTAAGCAGGAGTCTGGAGACTATTCCTGCCCTCAAGAGGATTACACTCCAGTATGACAGTAAGACACATGCAACTCCAAGAAGAAAGTAAAAAATTATGTAAGAGGAAATATTCAAGTGCCATAATAAATTGAGAACGGCTACATAGTTTTGAAAGTGGTAGCATTTTATCAAGGCTTGAAAAGGAGTAGGATTGGACTCCTGGCATTATATGCTTATTATCTTAACGAGATGTATTTTCAAAGTCAGATAAAAGGAGCTTATCTTATTTGTGAGTCAGTGCTTAAATTTTCTTAAATTTTGTGAGTCAATGCTTAAATTTAATATTTTTCTAAATTCTTAAATTTTCTTGTAATCAGAAATCTCCTTCTTGTGTTACATTTAAAATCAAACTACAAAATATGTCTCAATATCTAATAACTTTTCTTCTTTGCCCTACATACTTTGTTCAAGTTTCAGCAAGAAAAACAACCTTCAGTTCTTACTTTCTTGGTAGTGACAATTCCCCTAACGTTCATCACACATTTAACCATAAATAAATAACATTTAATTTTCACAGGAGGATCTCATTTCTGTCCCCTGCCCTGGAAGTTGGCAAAAAGTAAGGACCTGCATTTCATTGGAAATACAGAATATTTACTCTCCCTATTCTCTTCAGAAATTACAGCCTTGAAATCTGCTATCAGAAACCCAGTTTGAGGCTGGGCCCAGTGCAGCGACTCACGCCTGTAATCCTGGCACTTT